TTATAATTCAAATTATAGAAATATTCAAATCAGATCAGAAAGATTCAGATCAAATCAGATCATATCAAAAGAATTCAGATAAGATCAGAAAGATTCAGATCATATCAGAAAGATTCAGATCGGATCAGATCAGAAAAATTTAGATCAGATCAGATCAGAACTTAAAAAATTCAGATCATAAACATTCAGATCAGGTGAAGAGAACAGCTTCCTAGTTTATCTAGTCTGATTTGATCTGGTATGATCTAATCTGAAACTGAAATAAATTCATAAAAACATGATCATTAATCATTTTTAGAAAACATTAAATGTATCGTGCAAAGGTAGTAATTAATGATTTGAACACTTTACAAGCGGTCGTCTCTCTAAACCAGTTATGGTTTTTTGTTCCGCCGAGCTTTGTTCATGCGGTTTGGATTTTCATGGAACGTGAGCTCCGTGTGGCTTTCCCTTTGGAGTTTCGAAACGTGAGTGGAACGCAAGGGCGGTGGGGTGCAACTTGGATTTTTGGAGGCGAGGAAACACAAGGCAACGTGATAGAATTTTCTTGTGCACTTCGGACATGGATTTCAATGGAAAATCTCAAGGAGCGAATTGACGAGAGCAAATTGACGAGAGCAAATTGACAAGCGCGAGAAGGATTGAGTTTCAGACGAATTTTCTAGGGGTCGAAATTTTCTTCTAGCAGCTCGTCCTCCTTCGGAATCACCTTCATGCGATGAAGCAATTTGGGAAAAGTTTTTTTTGTATTATTTTTCCTTTAGTAGTACTTGTTTTTATTTTCAGTTCGAGCATGTATGGTTGGAGTATTTTGATTTTTGAAGAAGTTTTGATAGGCAGTGCTTCATTTTCGGTCGCTTTAGTCTTCTTTTTGCCCGTTTTGTGTCTAGCGAGTCAGGTGTTTTGTGTGAGTTACTGACTCTAAGTCTATTTCTAAAGCTTACGATTGGATTTGTAATAGTTGTCTGGATATTGACTTGCATATTTGCTCTTTATTAATGAAAGTCGTTTTTATAATAAATATAAAACTTAAAAGCTAAAAGTATAATAGTACGCTTACTTTGACAATTGACATATCTCACCTTTTAATTGGTTTTTTTAATATTTGTAATAACATGTGTTGAGGTTTTGTCCCGTATATCCGAAAGCCCAACATAAACTTTGGATATTAGGGACGATGAATTTGGTATAAAAGTAAATAAGAATATAGGAGTGTATGAACTAGCTATTTTTACGTGGAAACCCGAAAAGGGAGAAAATCACGGGACTTTTTAGGCTAATGTCCAAGCCCGCTCTTTCTCATTAATATGTTCTCCTCACCATTTTACATAGTACAAGTATAGAACCTCTATTAATGGAGTTTATGAGCTCTCTACAAAAGATGAAGAAGAAATGGTAAGGGGGAGGGAGAAGAGCTCCTGGGAGCAGAAAAAAGATCCCCACAATAGGAAGCCTAGCTTGCCTATTTATAGAAGGGGAGGGAAACCCTTTCATGTTAATGGGCCGAAAAAGGCCTTAATGGGCCAAAACAAGCCCAAGTAGGCCGAGTAGGCCTAACTGGCCCTAAATGGGCCCGAGGGGCCTAAATGGGCCTCATCGTCTGGGCTTTATACCGGGGTGACGCCTTGGCCTCTGAATAGTAGTAGTCCGGGGTAATATACCCCAACAACATGTTTTTTATATCAAAAGAATTTAATTTTCTTTTTCATGTTCAAAGAAATATATATATATATATATATATATATATATATATATATATATATATATATATATATATATATATATATATATATAAACTGTGAATAATTTAAGTGTCAAAAGTCTATACTTTTGCATTTTTAGAATATGTGTATATTCTATTTTTTTTAAGTGTCAAAATCTAATTTATGAGAGCAACATTGCGCTAGGGTTTGAGCGCCGCAGAGAAAGCGAGTGGCTTGGGATAATCTCAATTGATAGATGATGGGCAACGAGGTTGGCAATGGGCTGGTTTCAGTCGGCAGGGAAAGATCGTTTGGAACTCGATGCAAAAACATTTCATCCATGGATGAAGGTGAACCAAGCAATACAACGAGATTGGTGTTCAATGCTCAAACGGCAATACTGATGGCCTAGCCTCCTCCTAAACAACCGTCATGGAGTGAACTTGTGTCTAGGGCGATCTGGAAACAGAAGATTTAAGTTCGCTTTATTTTAATTTCAAGTTTTATTTTTCTTTTGTAAGACAATTTATCTAGATCTTGGGTTGCTTGTGTTCGTAGTAGTTTTGAGATGTCTGATTTAGCTATGATCAAAGGTAATTGCCATGAAACTCCCATATGTTCAACGAAAAGCTTCGCTCAGTTTTGGGTAAATTTTTCTATGTATGATATGGGACAAAGAGGATTCTTTAATTCTTATGGGTCTAATGTATTAAAGTGGTGAAGAGTACGGTGACCTTAAAAGTCTAAAAGAACTCTGTGTTACTCGTTTGGTGGTCAGCGATTCATGTTGCTTCTTTGGAGATGGTCACCCCAAAGTATGATCGTAGGGCGTCTCTTGAGTCTAGCAATTTGTTGAAAGATAGGTGGTGGATTTGGAGCTATTGGTTTATTGTAACTCTTGATTCATTAGATATTTTAATATAAGTCTAGTTTCTTTTCGAAAAAAATGCTATATTTTTTCACCACCCGACTAGCGTCTAATTATTTTTAGAACATTGACAAATTTAATAATAACGTAATAATTATTTCTTTTTAATATTTTTAACATTAAAAAATTGTTTATCTATTTTTTAGGGTGTAGTTTATAATATTTTTATATTATTATTATAGTAAAAAGAAATAATTATTACGTTATTATTAAATTTGTCAATGTTCTAAAAATCATTAGACGCTAGTCGGGTGGTGACAAGGCGCCGACTAGGTATTTTATACTCCCTTTGTATTTTTTTTGTTTGCTACATTTTCCTGTTTTGGATGTATTCAAAAATTTGCTACACTTTCTCTTTTTGGTAAATTTTTCCTTTAAAAATACTCAACTACCCTTACTTTTTCTACTTCTATGTCCTTTAAATATTTTCTTCAAACACAATAAATCTATTATAATCTAAAGTAATTGAAATTAAAGAAAAAATAAAATATCTTAATAAAAATACTACGTAAAACTTAAACTAATTGAATTGATTTAAAGAAAACTATATTTTAAATAAAATCTAAACTAATTGAATATAATAATTAAATAAACATACTCCATCCGCCTCACTTAAAATTTTGTCACACAATTTACGATATTTGACTGACCATATAATTAACTGATCCTAAGATTACATTTATTAAATAAAATTTACATATCAAGAAACATTTAAAGTTTTATAAAGTTGCAAAAAAATCAGATTTGATAAATGAAAAGAGATCATTAATTGATGGTATTTTTGAAAGAAAATTAGGTCATCCCCCATAATATTAGATAACCTAAGACATAAATAGGTTTAGCATTGCTCTCCATATTACATCACCAGGAATGTAACTTTCTGGATTTTTTCTCAACCCCGCAAAGGCGCAAACCAAACATGGACATCTCACATTCTTACCTCACATTCCGCCTTCATGTGAGATTACTCCATGTCAGGGTATGTTTGGTTAAGGCATGTCAGATTGCCATGAGAATGTTAGATTATCGGATATGTTAGATAGATGGAAATGTGATTAATATGTAACTCATTGTATTTGATTACGACTTACGATTAAGGAAATGTGACATTAAGTTGTTTGGTTGAATGATATCTTATATTGCATATTTGGTGAATTACTTTATTGCCCATTAAATATTTGTCTCTTAACACATTAAACTTATTACAACCTATAATTAGAGTCCGTTTGGTAGCACGAAAATCGGCTGATTTGACTAATTCTGCTGAAATTTATGAAGTTATGGCTGAAGTGGCTGCATTGGCTGATTCTGCTGATTTAAGAAGAAAAAATTTTTTAGAATATATTTATTAATAAAATTAAGAAAAAATTATATGTGAAAATAGCTAAAATGATCATTTACAGTAACTTCAGCCAAAACAGGCAGAAAAGTAACTCCAACCTTACTTTTTCTGCTTATTACACAATCCAGCGCGCGAAAGCAAAAGTTACGTGTTTGGCGCAAAAGTTGGCTGATAAGCCTGATAAGCCGAAAAACAGTGGTTCCAAACGGCCTCTTAAAGTAATTAAAATTTATAGAAAAACAAAACATCATAATAATAATAAAAATCAAAACTAATTGGATTAATTTAAATCAAAGTATGTTTAATTGGACAAATGACTATGAATAGTGAACGTTAGTAAATAATTTTAAGCATTTAATTGCTTAAGGCTTAGTAAGGAAGCATGGGTAATTTTGGAATAAAAATAAAAGGCAACAGGGCATGAGGACATCTAACATAACCTAAGGCTTTAGTGGGTTTGAGATGAAGGGACATGTGATTACCTTTTCACATTTTGGGAAAGTAACATTCCCAAAAGAAATTCAAACCCGCTAACCAAATCTCACATCTCTGACATCAGTTTCCGGTCTGTATATAATATTACCTCGAACCAAACGCACCCTTAGAGGTGGATCCAAATATCCAATTTCGGTTCAGAATTTCGTATCGGACAAGAATTGGGCGGGTAAATGAACAAAGTCATGGACTCATGGTGTATTTTTTAGTTCCTAAATAAATGTAACCGGATTAAGACTTCAAGAGATCTACACTTCCGGTACCTCCAAGGCTCCAAAGGAGGACTGGGATCGACCAGTTAAAAACATTTGGCTTTGATTTTTCTTAAAATAGAATAAAATAATGAGCCAGTCTACATCATTAAACTTCTGATTCCTCTTTAACCTGACCACAAACCAACTGGCCCAGAACCGGGCCAAAACCTATCCGAGTCCATCTCTGCTCGCAATACTATACGGAGTACTTTCCAGGTGGCACTTTGTTGGTTTGACTCATTTTCAGTGCGGAGAAAGATAAAAATAAAATAAAAAATCAACTGTAAAAATTATTTGCAGCCATTATTAGTGAGGTATAAATTTCCACACAAAAACCCAAGTCTGCAAGAGAAGATGGTTGCAACCTAATTGCAACTGTAGAACACTCTTGGAGTGTATAAGTTCATGTCCAAATCCCTATATAATAAGGTAATGTGTTTCTAATATTAAAAATAATGTGTAACAAATATGACCCTTATTCAAGATGGGGCGGGTGTAATAATAAGAATACATACAAAAAACTGATGAGGTCATGATTCAGCATATAAAGGAGCCGGCAAGAAAGGAAAGGGGGCAACCGAAGCGTATGCAACGGGTGGGCGAGAATGAGCACTGGCTGAACACTTCTCTCTCTTTCGGTCCATGAATAATTCACTATCTGTGTTTTTCATGGTTACCTGTTGGTTGTTATTGCCTATACGATGGAGGAGAATGCCAGACATGAAGACGGGAAGGTAGAGAAGGCTAGCGTGAAACATCCTCCTAGCATCCTTTGTTGTGCGGTTGAAAAAGAATGCTGTCGCGGTGCTGCTGATGGCAAGTGCGAGGAATGTGGACTCGAGGCAAAACCACCCTGAGGTCAAGCCCCCTGTTTGCAGGAACAATATAAGGTTAAATCAACATCAGTTTTGTGCATTATCAAATTTTGTGATTAAATCATTCACCAAAGAAAAGAAGAAAAACATGTTCAAGATAATACACAAGTGCTTTTTATAGGACTTGCAGTATGTCTACTTTTAAAATGAGTGTTTGCCAAGGAAATACATAAGTAACAAACTGATGTTTGATTCTCAGAAAGCTATTTTTGTCATCATATAGGGTCTGTTTGGTTAATTGGTACACAAAGCTGTTAGGCTGGGTGAAAACTACAATTGGTTCTATAAGTATTTTGTAAAACTGGCTGTTTGAGTATTAAAAATATATTGAAGGGCATTCTTTATGCGGAACTTTGATTATAGAGAATAACTGGTGTTATGTTCGTAAAAAGAACAATGTAATCAGTAGACACTATTAGGAGTCCTAGCACATAAGTTTTTACCAAGCACACTATTCAAGAGAGCACCAGATAATCGCTTCTTAAAAGGGAAAAACAATTTTAGTATGTAAATGAGAATACAATCCTTATAAAACAACTTTCACACAACTCACCCCAAACAGGCTCGAAATTACTTATCCATAATCATATAGATGAACCAGAATAGGAAAATTTGACTCACAGTCATAGGCTAGATAACCGAGTGGTAGTAGATAAAGGCAGTTCCTGAAGGCAACTGAAGCTGTTCTCTTACCAGAAGCATCAGCCAGGGAAAACATCTTAAACCTAAGTTACAGTAAACCAAGAATAACATAAGTGAGGATGCAGAAGAACCTAATAAAGCAGTTGAATCATTTATTAACAATGATCATAAATTTAAGGGCAGGCTCTAATACCCTCCATCTGCATAATCTTGGCGGCACAAGTATGCTAAGGCCATGAAGTGGGGTATCTGCCAAAAATAAAGAGCAGCCGGAAGAATGAAGCCATTGAGTGACACTTGACCAGATGCTGCGGCCCACCTAAGGAAGCAAACGAATTGTTAGGGAAGTGCACCGGATATGCAGTTTTTCCAATGTCCATTTTTTCTTCCCGAAATATCTTTAGGAAGTGTCCTTTACTCAAACAGTATTTAATAAAAAAACAGAGCATAATTACAGAGTTACCACTTTGCTACCATCCCACTGACCACCTCAAAGTTGGAAACCACCAGCTTTTGGCCGGCTTGTGGTTAACTATAAGCAGGGGCGGAGCCAGGGGGTCAGGGTGGTCAGCTGACCCCCCTGAATGTTCGAGAATATAGAGCACTGAAATTCCTTGGATTTGATATATTATGGCTCCCGTAACTCATTACGAGTAAAAAGTTATGACTCCTAGAAAATCAGCACTATCTTAACTTGAAATTAGTATAATTTGATGTGTGATTTGATTATATTCTCAAAATTATAAAAAAGGTCTAATTCACTCATTACTTGCGCAGTTGCATGAAGTTTATAATGTATATAACATATACTCCATATATCAAGTTTATAACACTCTTAGTTTCAATAATACTGTCATTTATCTAAGCTATATATGGAACGTCCAATTCAGGTATTGTTTAAAACCAATCCGTTCTTTTTATACTGTACTGAGTCAGGTTTCGACCCCCTGAGTCGTTTTTCTGGCTCCGCCACTGACTATGAGTGTGGAAGCCACTATGATTTTTCAATTTCCTATTTTGGCATACACAAGGAAGCATTTCCCAAATTTGGAAGAGCAAGGCTTTGTTTGGCTTGAGTGCTTGACAATGGAAAGGAAGAAAATAGAGCAAATTTGAAGAAACAAACATGTGGGTAAAAGAAAAAATTGCTTCGAACTCAATAATTCAATTGTAGATAGCAGTTCAAACTTCAAACTCATTTTATTTAAACATTCCTATCATATGAAGAATAAGGGATCAAAACATATGTTCAATAGTTTTAAACTCTTAATCAACTTTGACTTCTTTTTTCCCAAGGTAAAACCGAATATTAAAAATCAGTTCCCAACTACGTAGTATTACTTTTCTGTTCCTGCCTTTCTCTGAAATCCAAACATCGCAACAAGCCAAAAAGGTTTAGACATTTGTTCAAACTCATTTTTCTTAAATATTGTTACCAAATTTACCCAACTTTGATTTACCTTCATTTTTTGCAGGTAAAGCCAAACACAAAAAGCATTTTCTTAGTATATTTTTTCTTCACATGCCTTTACCGAGATCCAAACATAGCTAAAGGTAAATAAGGATTAGAGAAAATATTCCATTTTCCAAGTTCGGGATATTACAGTAGTAAACCTGTTAGGCGACTTGAGAGGTGGGAAGAAGCGGCGGGGAGGAGAGGGAGAGGAAGACCCAAACAAACTTGGATTACAAGAATCAGAACACATATGTTTCTTCTTGGGTTGGATGAGAATGTCTCTTTTCTCTCTTCTCTCTCTCTTTTTCTTTATCTTTTATCATCTTTATCTTCTTATGTTCTTATGTTATTTTTATATTTTATCTTTCTTATGTTCCTCTATCTTTTTATTTTTTTTATCTTTCTTATGTTATTTTTATCTTATACTTCTTTCGTCCCGAAAAGGTTCGCCAACTTTGACTGTAACGTGGATTAATAAAGTAAAAACTGTGTGGTTGAAATTTGTGCAGAGGAGAGATAATTAACTTTAGCTACATATTCCTTACATTAAATGGAAAAGGCAAATCTTTTTGGGACATCCCAAAAAGGAAATTTGGCAAACCTTTTCGGGACAGAGGGAGTATTTATCTTTATCTTATCCATTTTATCTTACTTTATCTTTTTATTCTTATCTTTCTTCTCTTTTTGGCTCCAGTATCATGAATTAATTCATGTTAATCGACCCCAAAATCTTTTGGGAGCAAGGCTTGATGTTGTTGTTGTTGTAGTAGTAGTAAAGACGTCAAAGAACTTCCAACATTAACAGTGTAAAACAGTCACCAATTAAAAAAAAATGGTAAAGAAAGTACATAGAGTCATCATTCTACTACAACTCGGATTAAAATGAGTTTCCATCATTAACAATATAATTTGAAAACAGATCCATTTTTAGCATGATAAAATATTAATGCCCAATGATATTTGTTGACCATCACTAGAACAGTAAGAGCGCTAGAATGTTAACATTAAAATAAAAATTACATTTTTCTCTGGTTTAGTTGTCTTAGATACAAAGCTTACGTAGATATGTCTCACCGACGGGTGACACTCCCACCAACCAGACCCCTTCAAATCCCAAGTTTTAAGGAATATCAGACACACACTAGGGTATAGAAATATCTAGATAGGTAGCTGAATATTTGAATGCCAATGCAAGCAGGATGAAGCTACAACTCAGACCAGCCAAAGGAATTAGTGTGGCATACACTGATACACATCGATTGCAACCATAACCAAAACCACATATTGTCCAATAAAATTGAAGCTTTTCAACTTTTAAATGATCAGGTAAAAAGTAAAAATTACCCAAGAAGTGGTGGAACAGCACCAACAATAGCGCCAACCCATGTATTGATGGGATGTATCTGCTTCAGAGGAGTGTACACAAATGCATAAAGAAAGAGATTAGAAGCACCAAGGCCAGCAGCCAACATGTTTGCCTGTAAAAACCTTGTCACACATATAGAAACATCAGTCACTCAAAAAATAACAGATTATATACAAATACTCTAATAGCATTAAAAAAATTAGCTTAGAGTGTCTGGTTACCTTGCAAGCCAACAAAGCAGTGCCAGCTGCACCAACACTAGACGCCCAGAAAAGGGCATGAGGTATAGTAATCCGCCCTGAAGGTAATGGTCTTTGTTGGGTTCTCTTCATTTTTGCATCATTTTTTACCTCAAATACCTAGACAAATACACATATAAATTATATCAGCTTGGAAGGTGCAAGTGGAAACGACCAGCGAGTAAGATCCTGTTTAGTTGAGGCCTGAGGGATGTTGGTGGGGATTGAAGGAGTGATAATTGTTTACTAACTTATCTCTATTTGTGAGTCTTGACTAGAAAATATATACTCCGCATATATTATTAGTTATATCATTTAATTCCATATAACTTTTCATCTTCACTTTTTTACAATCATCTAAATATAAGAATAGATCAATAAATAAATGCCCCCTCCCGTTCGCCCCTGCCTAGAATCCCCCAACCAAACAAAAGCTGTGAGACAAGTGTATCTATGACCATTGTTCGCTCATGGCCATATTCTCCAAATTCATCTTTCTACAAAGCAGATTATGTTATTATTTTAAACATTTAATCCACCCCGCTGTAATCCAGTTAGGCCTTTTTTGCAAGAAATAATATTGATGAAAGCGTAAGTGGTTTATGTAGGCTGTCAATGTTCAAAAGGCAATATTTAATGCACTTCAAAACATCAATAACTTCAATTCTAACAAAAAGAGCATGGTTGGGTTCTAGCTGTTTAGTACATCTCTATTTGAATTTTTAAACAACTAAGGGTTTGTTTACTTTCGACTTAATGAGACCAGTGACTTAATTGTTCAGCTATTAAGTCGTGTTTACTTACGAATTAATGGAAAGCGACTTATTCATTCAGTCAAGAAATTGACTTAGTTATTAAGCTGCAATATAGTAGTCCTTCCCATTAAGACATCTATTCAGTCAACTTTTTAAATCGATTATGAAATAGATTGATGTTAATAAGTGAAAATTTTCATTGACAATATAGCCTAATAATAATACTAAATGATTATTTTACTCTATTCAGACAGTTTATTCAACACTCAAAATATACAGCCTCATACATAAACACCACTTAATCCAGACATACATCTTAAACCACACAGGACTTAATATAAAAAAAGTAAACAGCCCCTAAGCTTCATTTACTAACCTGATTTAAGGAGTTAGCTGAGGCTGCAACCATCATGGTGCCCACACATGTAGCCCAAAGACCTGTGTAATCAATTGCTCCACCACTCCCAAGAACGTATCCCGTGCCAGATGTGGCTACAACTAACATGCTGCAGTGATGCACAAAACAAGGAACAAGTTAATCAGGGGAGAACCTTTCTCCTCCAAACCAGCATTGATAATTTACAACGTTGCAACACCCAATCCGTAAGCAGCAAAAAAATCTCTTTATTGAGAAATAAAATTTGGACGGGTCTGCCTAAAATGATGAAGATGACCACTAATACGTACTCCATACAAGAAAGAAGACATTTTCAATGAAATATTGCGGAAAATTGTCCTATCAAATCAGATATAACTGTTAGTAAACATAAATATATATAAAATCACAAAGAAAACATCTATCACAATAATTAACCTCAGACGAGCTTTGGAGAGCTCCCAATAACAGCGCCCATAGTGTTTGGCATAGTCGAGCACGTCCTCACTCTTGAAAACCGAAGCAGAAGCTAATGATGTCAAGTTGACGGCTGATGTCGAAGACCAATTACGATCCCATGTGGAAGACGTAAGCCCTAGTTTCACCGAATCGGCCTGCGATGTTGATTCCGACCTGGCGGCCGTCGAACTGGGACGGATCAGAAGCGAATGGTGTGCTAAGGATGCACGAAGAACAAGAACAGAAGGATTAGAGTTGGATGTGTTGACGAGTTTCGATGAGAAACTTAGAGAGCATCTCCTCCACATAGCTGAGTCGGACGAACGAGTTGGGTGAGTTCGCGTTTGTTATTTTGATCTGGAGAATCCAGGTGTTTGTCATGAAATGTCCGTCAATCCTCATAGTTATCCGCGATAAATATATAAATATATAGAAATTGGGTTATACATATAGCATATGCAAATTTGGGGAATTTTCTCACACATATTTAAAGCTTGATAATTATTATTTTCCCCTTAATCCAGAGTGATAACTTATAACAAAATTGCAACAAACTCCATAACTTTTATTTATTGTTTTAATTTTAACAAATAATTTTAATTAGATTGGTATTAGGATGTTTTTACTTGGACTGTAATTTGCTGGTCTGGTCTGAACTGGTCTGGTCTGGTCTGGTTTCTTTGTATTTTTATAACTATCCAAGTCTGGTCTGGTCTGGTCTGGTCTGAACTGGTCTGGTCTGGTCTGAACTGGTCTGGTCTGGTCTGGTCTGGGGCAAATTACAGTCCAAGTAAAAACATCCTTAGTCTTATATTGGAACAAAACAGATAAAACCATATTAGATCAAACTAGGTCATAATTCGACAGTTGCAAACACACATAGCTAGAACAAACATGTATCAGATCATTTCAGATCAAATAAGATTAAATCAGTTTTAAACAAATCAGACCAGACCAGACCAAACTGACCGGACCCAAAGATTTCAATCGATTTGACATGTGAAAACACACATTCTCTCAAACATAGATAAACACAATTGTACATATAGAAATTTTGGACTACTCCTACTTATAGAAATTTACTCAAAGACAAATTAACACAATTTCACAACTCTTCTTATAAACAATTTCTCAAATTCAAAGTTACACCTATCTCATTATTTCATATGAGTTCTTCTTCCCATTTTTCAAACTCATCTCCCCATTGCATCTTCGCAAAATCTCTTTCGTATATTAACACCCGTAAATGAGAACCACAATAATAACTATTGTTAAAATCATTACTCTTGTTGTAGGGAGAATTGTTCGTCGAGTTTCATTACCGAATGCCCCTATAAATAGGGATAGAGTAGGGTTTACAAGTACGGGCCAATAGGCCCAGATTACATAGTTTACATAGAAATGACCCTAATACATATTCTATATAAACGATAGCACACTACATAGAATTTTCTTCAACACTCCCCCTTGTGCTGAGTTGAATAGAATTTGGTATCTGTGTTGTTGTCTCGTCAAAACCTCTGTCAAGTAACAAAAAACCTGTGGGAAAAAATAACCTTGACTGGAAAAAAGAGTATAGCATCACGATAGACTTCTTCCATTAAGTCTGTGTTTATTTGATCCTTGCTTTGATCAATAAAGCGTATATGTATTGTTACCTCATTAAAAACCTTACCGAGTAACAAAACTCGATGGGAAAAATAAAACTTGGTTAAAGGAAAAGAGTGTAACGTAATGTAGATGGGGAACTCCCCCTCAAGTCTACACATATCCTTAATAGTTACATTAATCAAGGATGTTTGGAAAGTTCATGCATTCCAATACTTGTCACATTACTTACCTTAGCGAAGGCACACAAATAGAGGAATATAATTCCTTTAATTCTCCCCCTGTGTGCCGAGTGTAAGGTGATTAATGTAAGAATTATTAACTTGTTAAATCTGTTGCCAATGAACAAAACCCAATGAGAAAAATAAACATCGGTCAAAGGAAAAATATGATGCACTAATAAGCACGCGTCAATTACTTTTGACTGCGATATATTAATTATGTTCTTCCTTCAACATAGTTTTACCTTTGCAAAATTAAAGTGTGGGATGGTGCATATTGTGTTGGCTCAAAAAAAACCTTACCAAATAACAAAACTCAATGGGAAAAAGTAAACCTTGGTCAAAAAGGAAAAAGAATACAACACACCATTATAATTGATGGTAAATAAGTGTGTAAGTACTCCCCCTGAGTGCAACACATCAATAAGAATCTAACATTTACTTGATATATACTTTTATCAAGGTATTCCGTATATAACATCATGGTCTCTTTCAAGATAAATATATACTCATTAATAAAATATCAATGAGGTAAGGGGATACCCATCATCAGTAAAACTCAAATCACGTTACTTTGTGTTAGAGTAATACTTTTGATATTTTCAATTCCTTTAGAAATATTGTTATCATCAATCATTTAATTCAATTTATAAGGGATGAATAACGATTACTCCAATGGTTTCAAAGCACATTCTTGATACCATTTCAATGACGATATACGATGTGTTGGTCCTGAGCTATTTTTAGCTAACACGTTATTGAGAATGTAATATTTGGTCGAATGTGTTGGTCAAAGTACAATCATGCGCATATTGCACTTACATAGGGAATTTCTCCTCCCAATAACTTTTTAGTAATGGAACTTTTCTAGTATCCATATTTCGACCAATCATGGGAGTGCTAACAGTTTACATTTATCCATGTCAATTTTGCCTGAGAACCCTTTTGGATATATGCAACTGGTGAATTAGTATTCAACCAACTCGGTGTTTAATTTCAAAACAGAACCAAGTTTCCCAAGATCTTTTATCTCAATTATGATTTTCAGGTATCTAACATGTCTCATGTTCCATTATGAGTACATATTATGTCTATATCATGGAGATACAGTGATATTTGGAAACAAAACTTCTTTCCATTATAAATGCGCTAGACATAATATATTCATTTTGCATCCCTTTTCAGTCAAGTGGTCACTTAGACGGGTATGTCACTCCCGTCTGGATTGATTTAATCCAAATGCGAACGTATATAATGTTATTAAAAACCACTTGATAAAAACATAAGTGCTTCATAAAAACATAACTGCTCTTAAGTAAAGATTGAGACATTTATTTGGTGACCCCAATCTTTAGTTGCGTCTCCATTACTTTGGAGGCTACTTAAAGATTAAGTAGTTGAACATTTTTGTGTTCAAAATAGAGATGTGTATGTAACTTTTCATATTTGAATCCAGGGCGTAGTGAGAATAATTAGGACCTCATTATCTTAATACGCTTTCTAATAAAGAATAATTTATGTCCTACAGGCTTTACACTTGGTTGATTAGCACTATCACACCAAATACCTGTCTCTTTGTTAAATATTAAATTTATACCTGGATTACTTGTACACTTTTAGGCCAAAATTCCCATTGCTTTCATGTTGCAATAGAGTATGGTTCGATATCATCGTGCTCTATATTTGTTTGAGCAACCGTAAATATATCGTCAGCAGGGCCGTCTCTAGGAGTTTTGATGCCCTAGACAAAAAATGACCAACGAGAGATTACATAGTACGTAAAGTTAATAACAAATTAAACATGATGTAATTAGGGAATTATAACACTTTTTTTACTAAATGTAAAAAGTAATACTTGACTTAAAGTTGATATATATAAAAGTATTCTTCTTGTCTTTTAAAGTGCAAAATTGATATAAAAATTGGTTAGAAACTGTAAATTATTCTAAGAAATAAAATATATAAGAACTATCTAATAACATATTCTTCTTGTCTTTTTCATCATGTGCAAAATTTGAAAGTACATCACTACAATCAAGAGTAGATAACACTTTTTTTTTTCTATAACATAGCCAGTCCACTTAATCTTTCTTGTGACATCGTTGAGCAGAGATATATGGAACTACCATTTAAATAGAACAAGTTTCATACTGAATTTGATAAATGAATAACTTCAAAGAAATTAGAAAGAATATATGGTGTATAACACAAAATTCAAATTTAATACAATTAATAAATAACAACTAATAAATTGGATGTAAAATAACTCGTTCATAAATTTCAATTAATCAATTTCGAATTTATATTTGGAATTGCAGATTGCGGATGAATAAGTTAATATTTACAATTAATAAATACTCTGTAATAGTTAATTAATTGAATGTAAAAGAAATCACAAATTGAAAAGTTCTAAACGTTACCTGAATTGCAATTTGCAAATTGGTGGCGCAGGCGGATGGCACCTGGACCTGGCAAAAATCAGAATGCTACTATCCATTCCTAATATCCTATTTTTAATTTCAAAACTAAAATGGTAAAGGAGTTTTAATACGGAGTATAACTGTATATAAGCTACATACTAGGGTGGGTAATAGGGTGTAGATCTTCCAGTCCTAATTTTTCATTGGGCCAAGCTCACTCTGTATCAATTTACCCACTTGCCGCTTGTAGAATTTGGATAGTCCAATGTACTGCTTGTAGAATTTGGATAGTCCAATGTACATCCTATTAATTAATACACTACGGAGTAATATACTCGTATTACATACTCCATATATAATAATAGATTTTTTTTAAATGGTGCCCCCACTTAAAGTGGTGCCCTAGGCAATGGCCTAGCTGCCTACCCCCTATGGCCGGGCCTGATCGTCAGTATAAGTGTAAGGTCTATCATTCGACTCATACACACTCTCATTAGCATGGAGATTTTAATTCTCTGGAATCATTTAAACTTCGGGGCGTCCCCCATTATTGATTCATGGACATGTTTAGTCAGAGATAATCTCATGAGAGGAATTCATATGATGACGAATATATTGGTTTGTGCCTTATCTACCCTCTACTACTTGGGGTGGATAATTGATCGAACCATATGACTTCACTATGTTCCTTTAGAGAGCCACGGCCTCAACCACAACCCCACGGTTTGTGGTTGCAATGTTGCTTCCTTTAGCATTGTGTCTTTTAATTTGAATTCAAGCCTTATGAATATATTTGCAGCTAGTGTGTATAATCTGATTACTTAAATCATTTATGATAATTGATAAACACTTCAACTTCAATGTTACATTTTGAAGTCTAAAGTTTATCATTGAGACAGAGTAGTGATGTACCGTCATAAAGATTCTGTCATTTAATTAGAGAATTCTTTCTCTAATCTCCCCCTAATGACAGGAAAATCAGTTGTCTCATAAAAGTAATATTCCGCAAAGCGGTGAACACATTATTTGTTAAGGCTTGTAGCGGTTATTATTGGAGGTTCATATCCAACATAAACAACATTTGTCTTTTAAAACCGATTATAGTGCGCTGTGGGGGCGCATTAGGCACAATTAGTTAACAACCATATATGTATAAGTAGAACATCTCAGGCTAAGATCTCGTCACCAACTGGTATACAGAAATGGTTGTCTACTATCGGTCTAAAAAGCAAATGTGTAAGAGTGCTTGCAATATTGCATAATCCCATGAAAATAATTAATTATATATACGTGTGCGCATAGTAGATATAATATTCACCAGCTATATTCTTTTAGATGTGAGCTTTAGTGAGACTTTATTTTTACACGTGATGTGAGATGATTTTCATTGATGTCGACAAATATGCAATACTCGTCAAATACTTTTGATGAGAACTGTCTAGCAATAACAAGTCATATAGACTTGATTGGTCGGGTCGGTGATGAGCCCCTTAAATGAATAAATTTGTGCTAGAAGTTTTGCAAATGCAACATTAAACAAGAAAATAGATGGCATGAGGAGATTTCTACCAAACCATAATTACTTGAACGGCCCGCATTTTGGTAGATAAGTTCTCACGTGTCATATTGTATTGAAAAAATGAGATATCTTCATTTTTATATCCTTTGCATAGACAAGTCTCGATTCTATTATTGCTAGGGAGTAAACTTTTAGAAATAACTGACATACCTTCTAAAATATTTTTAAGGCATAATGGAGAGTAAATATATCTTCTCGTACTTTAGAAGATGTATATTGATTTGTTATTAAGCAATGCTTCAAACCAACAATTTACCTCCTTGTGTCGGATCCCTTTTATCCTTTATTCGAATGATTAATGATGAGTCTGTTATTTTAAAATTTGTATGAGTCAATGCCCTTTTTGTCTCATAAATGTATGAAATATGCATTTTCTTTTGCATTTATTAGATGCAAAATGATATCTTCTATCTCATTTTTATAACGAGTTTCTATGGGGATGCCCATTGAGGGTAGCTCGGTGGGCATTGATGCCCAAGCAATGTGAGAGTTCGGAGAAGCCTCACACAAGTGTATAAGGGGCAACTTTTGTTACTTTGACAAGAGTCCGCTCACAAGACATGAACCCATGACATAGTTCCATTCTCTGTGAAAATCATTGTGATGAACCAATTTTAAACGTAGGAAGCTTTAGTGACTTCTAGATGCATTTAGAGGTCACGAGTATAATTTTATTCATTTAGATATGAAATATTCAGACTGTGACACCGCACCCGAACGTCCTTGAAAATTTGATTTAAAAATTCAAAGTTTATGTATTGGATTTCTGATTCCCAAACAATTGTAAAACGATTAATGTTTTACGTAATTAATGATCGATTATTGTACCGGTCGAACTCGTATATTAGTGTCGGGCATGCAAATACTATTTGGGACTTATTAATAAATAAAAGAGCCCAACATCATCTAAATAGTGATACATAATCTTTCAAGACAATTTGAGGAAGGTCGGACGGCCCAAACGTTATTTTGAGCCCAGCCTGCTAAAAATAGCAAGTATTCGAGAATGACATCCTAGACCCAATCGGGAGTGACCCACACGGCTTATAGCCCAATAATATGAATGACAATGTCAAAATAAGGGATAGAATGGCTAGGGAAGAATACAAATGCCTGTAGTCCCACCTTTGGCATTATTGAGCTAAATAACGGGAGTATGATTTTTCTTCTATAATATTCATCATGTAAATAATTGGGATGATCCTACACATATTGGAGATCAATAATATGATGTAGGGAGTTGACTTGGTCTATATAAATTACAATGAGTACAAAAAGACATCTTTTGACAAGAGGTTAAACAATAGGACCCATTCTTCCATTTTTGGATGTATTGATTAATATCTTGCTCCCAAAATAATTGGGGAACAACATGCTGCGCCCCATCTACTCCTTCCACCTGCAAGACAAGAAAAACAATGTTAGGAGGCTGCCATAGCTGACTTTAGGGGCTGGATTTGACAAAGGAAGCAAGAGGGAACCCCACCTAGTCTATTTTCGCACAAAAGGATGGTGCTGGTTGTCTCCCTCCATGAGTGATGTTATACTCGACCAAATAAGGTGAATGAGGTGTCCTTGGATAGACTTTGAAGTCTAGTTTCTTATTAGAGTGGTCTATGTTCGAGAAGGGAGAGTTTATCATACAAAAATCGAGCTGGAGTGAACTGCTGTCTGTAAACTCGAGCAGTGAGAGTGCTGAGGCTGTTTGGTTGATATCTCGAGTTATACCAAACCAATCGAGGCGTGTAAGATACCAAAAGAAAGATCTCAAGACGAGGAAACCGTGAAGGTCTGGTTTGCATCAATCGGAGTAGTGGAAGGCTTTCAAATCGTCCCAACAAAACGCAACCTCGCAGAAACGGATCTACTCTTCTTAAGTGAGTTGTTAACCCAAAACCTTTCCATTCATTTTCCAAATGATATGAACGATTGGTGGAACTATTATACACTACTCCAAGTGTATAATATGTCCCTATTAAGTTATTTTGTTGATGTAAAGGTTAGATACTAACCTAGAGCAAATCTTGGAAAACTAGGAAACGAGTTAGCCGGAAAACACCCATTCTAGGGGCTCTTTTCGTACCAACGATTAAGGGTTGAACTAGCACTTTGAGGAGGCTGTTTGACACTCATTTCTAAGCAAGGAATCAGTTCTCAAGCTTCCTTGGCCGAGGCTTTGGTCATTGGATCAAGAAGGAAAGTTTTAAAGCTCATTTGAAGTGAGGATCGACATCTAGTTGCTTACAACTTGTAGGTTAAGCATGAGATTACCTAAATGCCTAAATAATGTTTTCCATGGATTATGATGATAACTTATTGATGGAATATTGATCTATTTTTCCAAAGAATGAAATGGGAAATGATTTGGTAAAGTATTGATAAAAATGGAGTTAAATGAACTATTGTGTGAAATAGGCATTTTACTCATGTGTGAATTGTGTAGATACATAAATGATTATTTATGTATTACATTGAATACTTAAGTTGCTGCTACATATCTCTAAATATGTAGGGTTTTACAAATGGAATATATGATGGATAAGAATAATCTTAATAGTATTGAAGTACTAGTTAATGATTGTTGTAATTGTTGAAGAATTGAATCTAAGGATTTGATTGTAATTGATGGACTTGATTGTGATGCAAGTGACTAAATTGATGTAATGTGATGCTAAGACCATGGTTGGGCAGTCCGTAAGGATGTCCCAAAATAGATTATTGATATTACAATTCTAGGCATAGCGAGTGCTTAGGAATTGGGGTCTATGCCAATGTAAGGAGATGTACTTGAGCCGCGCTCATAGAATTGCATTGGGTAGACATGATGGGGTGATTGTTGTGCATGGTGATGTAGTTGAGTTGGACTCAAGAAATGCACGGTGGAGTAGTTAGCTTATGTTAATTAAGGTGCATGGTGATGTAGTCGAGTTGGACTCGAGAATGCAAACATATGTGTTAGGGTTGGACCCTATGAATTGTTGTGACTAGGGGTCACGGGATTTTGGGCTATGTTTGATGAACAAACCTTGGGCCTACGGGCCGACTACTTGACTTTATATATAAAGTAAGTATATCTTTTAAAAAGGGGTAACTTGGGGTTACGGCCTAGATTATACTATCACCCTATTTGAGGGTCTTGTGTTTGAAATACTTGTTGTATATCTATTAGATGCCATCCACACCAGCACTTTATAGCCCTATAGAGTGCTGACCCCTTCGGGGGCGTCCCACCACCATTTTTCAGGTTGAGGCTAGAGCTTGCTTCCTGTGCTCGTTGCTCGAGAGATCATCTAGGAGGGAAGACTTGGTTCGTGCTTCCTCCATTCGGTTTTTAAACATTAATAAACATGCTCATGAATATTTTACTATAGGGCCTGCGTGCTCATGTTAGCCACGTGTGGCATTTGTTTTCAAACTATGTTTTCCGCTACGTATTCGATTGCTTGTTATGTTGTTTATGGATGGCTTACGTGTGAATGATATTCGAGACGCCTTGTATAATATGAATGTGTTGGACTGCGGTTGACTATTCGTATTGTACGGCGGGTTGTTGACGTGTCCGGGGAGGTCCGGGGCGTGACAATTTAATTGGTATCAGAGCCTTAGTCCATAAACTTCACAATGAAGTCTCAAAACTCTCTTTTTTGAAATGATTTTGAAAACCATGAGCATAGAAGTTTTGTACTTGGAGAGCTTTTGGTACTTGGGTTGCAAGGTCTCTAATTGTTAAGATGGTACCCTTAGCAATTGGTATGGCGGTGACTCGAGCCAAAATGTGTCTTAAGTACCTATCCGTCAATTGACATTTGATACGAGTCTAACGACTCTTTCCAAAATTTCTTTCAGAAATGGACGGTGGTGGCAAGGTTACGAGGAGGAACCCGACGGGCCGTGCACCGGTGGCGACCGGGCAGGGAAGCCGTGGGGCCTCTAGAGTGTCTAGAGGGGCGAGCCGTGGAGGCCGATCGCACACTGTGAGCGACGGTCATGTGGACACCGAGGATGAAACCTACTGGTCCTATGAGGACTCGACTTACCAACCGGAAACCGAGCCGGTTGAGACCCCTTACGAAGGGGATGACGATGATGTAAGTGATGAAGAGGGGGAGAATGACTCCCTAGCAAGAATTGAGGCGCTGCTCCAACAATATCAGCGGGAGCGCGAGGAAAGGAGGGAACGCCGAAGGCGCCGGGGAGGGCGAACTTCGGGTGGGGCTTCAAGAGGAAGAAGCCATGGCGACTCTAGGGCCCACATTGAACCACATGGGGGCCGGGGTGATGGAGGTCCAATCATAAGGATCTCAAAATTCCTCAAAGAGGCGAGAGACTTGGGGTGCAAACCCTTCAACGGAGCAGGTGACATCTCGGTCGCCGCGGAATGGATCAAGAGGTTGAACGAAGCAGCCCTTGATATGCAACTCACCCCCGAATTTAAACTAAGGGTGGTGGTGAGATTGCTTGAAGGGATGGCATCCACATGGTGGGACGGAGCCAAGGGAAAGTATGGCAATACTGTGACTTGGGAGAATTTCCGACAGGAGTTCTTTGCCCAATACTATTCTGATTTTGAGGTGAACGCTAAGAGGAGAGAGTATACCCTCCTGACCCAAGGTGGCAAAATGACGGTGAGGCAACTTGAACACAAATTCAGGGAGCTCGCGGAGTTCATACCGGAGTATGTGTGTGACGAGAACCGGATGGTAAATCACTTCTGGGATGCCTTAGACCTGGAGGTGCGTGAGAGGGCAACACAGTTGCCTAACATGACCTTTAGCCAAGTGGTCGAGCAAGGGTTAAAAGGAGAGAAAGAATGGGAAGAGAGAAAGTTGAAAAACGTCGAAGAGGCGAAGAAGAGAAAGTGGGAGAACCTTGGACCTCAAGGTCCTAGCAAAAAGGGGAACCATGGGGGAGGGGCATCTTTTCGGACACCCCCACTGCCATCTAGGGGAAGTCAAGGCCCGGGCGGGCAATCACAAGCCTCGGGGGTGACTCGTTGCAAGAATTGCAAGAGGAACCACCCGGGGAAATGTCGTGACCCTCCTAGATGCTACCAATGCGGGAGCACCGGACACATGAAGATGAGTTGCCCACAACTGGGCGGGACGAGGGCATCAGGGCCAAGTAGTGGTAATACCGGGACACAGAATCAAGCCGGGACTTCACAAGCGTCCAAGGGGCAAGGGGGAGCAAGCGCAAGCAACGCGCCGTCCGTGAATCAAGGAAGGACTAAAGCTAGAGTCTATGCGATGACGAAGGCGGATGCTCAAGCTAACCCGGATTCCGTTGCAGGTATAACCACTTAATTACTCGTGTTTTATCCGTGTTTTATCCATAAATTGAGGTTACTAATCCCAGGGGTCAATTGCAAATAGCCTTAGGACCAAACCGTGCAATTCTGGGCGAAATCGGGCTGATTTTTTGCCCAGGCACGCCGTGCCTTCGCCGTGCCTCCTGCCGTGCCTGGGTGGCAGTAGCTACCCGGGGGAAAAGGGTCCCCAGGCACGCCGTGCCTTCGCCGTGCCTGGGTGGCAGTAGCTACCCGGGAAGAAGAAAAAAATGGTCCCAGGCACGCCGTGCCTCCCGCCGTGCCTGGGTGGCAGTAGCTACCCGGGAAGAAAAAAAAATGGTCCCAGGCACGCCGTGCCTCTGTCGTGCCTCCCGCCGTGCCTGGGTGGCAATAGCTACCCGGAAGTATTTTAAGCCACGCACGCCGTGCGTGACTCCTAGGCACACCGTGCGTGGCACCCAGACTGCCCAACGTCAATTGTTTCGCACCAAATTGCGACGTTAAGACCTCTCCTTGACCCCAAACGTATGTATGAACATAATGAACCACTATAAATGTATATAGATGGTAGAAAGGTATCTTACATGGCATATGAATGTAGAAACACTAAAGGTTAATGGGAAAGGTGCGCGAATCCTTATCGACACCGGGGCGCAACGTTCATTCGTGAGTGAGACGTTCGCTGAAGGCTTAGGGTTACACTCAATACCGATGACACAAACCCTGGTGGTATCAACACCACTAGGAGATGACGTTGAGAGAACTTGTTATTATCCATCTTGTGAAGTGGAAGTCGGTGGCCAAACCTTGACGTGTGATTTCGTACCACTGAGTATGATGGAGTTCGATGCAATCCTAGGGATGGATTGGCTAGAAAGGCATCATGCTAGTGTAGATTGCTACACAAAGGTTTTGGAACTCGAAAGCAATGATGGGGACACCCTACGCTTCGAGGGGGACCGCGGCAAATCAAACAGCTGCATCATATCCGCCGTGAGAGCGAGAAGTATGATGAGAAAGGGATGTCACGCGTATCTAGCATACGTGGTTGACAAGACCAAGGAGGAAACGAACATCGATGACATGAGGGTGGCTTGTAAGTATCCGGATGCCTTCCCTAAGGACTTACCGGGGCTTCCACCTGATAGGGAGTTTGAATTTATGATCGAGGTCGAGCCTGGTACCAAACCAATCTCCATACCGCCATACCGTATGGCACCCGCTGAACTTAACGAGTTGAAAACCCAATTGCAAGAACTTTTAGATAATGGTTTCATTAGACCAAGCCACTCCCCGTGGAGAGCACCAGTTCTTTTTGTGAAAAAGAAAGATGAGACACTTCGAATGTGTATTGACTATCGTCAACTAAACAAGGTCACAATCAAGAATAGGTATCCCCTGCCTAGGATTGATGACTTGTTTGATCAACTACGAGGGGCAACCGTGTTTTCAAAGATTGATTTGAGGTCGGGTTACCATCAATTGAAGATTAAGGAAGATGACATACCAAAAAGTGCTTTCCGCACAAGGTATGGGCATTTTGAATTCCTTGTTATGTCGTTTGGGTTAACAAACGCCCCAGCGGCATTCATGGACTTGATGAACCAAGTATTTCATAAATACTTGGACCGATTCGTGATTGTGTTTATAGATGACATCTTGATTTACTCAAAGAGTGAAGAAGAACATGAGGAGCACTTGATACTTGTCCTTGAGACACTACGGGAGAAGCAACTCTATGCTAAATTTTCTAAATGTGAATTTTGGCTAAAGGAAATTGGCTTTCTTGGGCATGTAGTTTCGGGATCAGGAATTGCTGTTGATAGCAAGAAGATAGAAGCCATTACCGAATGGGAGAGGCCAAAGAACGTCAAGGAAATCCGTAGTTTCCTTGGGTTAGCAGGCTACTACAGGAAGTTCGTGGAGAAATTCTCCGTTTTGGCATCACCATTGACAAAGCTCACTCGAAAAGGAGCTAAGTTTGTATGGGATGACAAATGTGAGGAAGGGTTCATTGAACTAAAGAAGAGATTGACCGAGGCACCGGTACTTGCATTACCCAAACAGGGTATGGGGTACGATGTCTATAGTGACGCGAGCATCCAAGGGCTTGGATGTGTGTTGATGCAGGAAGGGAGGGTAACTGCCTATGCTTCACGACAGTTGAAGAAGCATGAGGTAAATTACCCTACCCATGATCTAGAGCTGGGAGCAGTGGTGTTTGCACTGAAGATTTGGAGACATTATCTCTACGGAGGGACATGTCACATATATACTGATCATAAGAGCTTGAAGTACGTGTTTACTCAGAAAGAGTTAAACATGAGACAGAGACGGTGGACGGAGTTGATAAAGGACTACCATCTAGTTATTGAGTACCATCCAGGTAAGGCAAACGTTGTAGCAGATGCCCTCAGTCGGAAGAGTTCGTCTGGGGCATTGTTGACTAGTTTGAGGGCATTGAGGGCCCAATTGGATGTATCTAGCGATGGTGCCTTATTGGCACGATTCGAAGTGAGACCGACCTTACTTGATGAGATCAAGAAGGGTCAAGAGACTGACGCAGAACTTATGAAGGTCCGGGAACACATGCAAGCGGGGCCGGTGGAGGATTTCAGGGAAAGAGATGATGGTCTCTTGTTATTTCGTGACCGAGTGTGTGTACCGTCAGATGAGGAGCTCCGTAAGTCCATCTTAGAGGAGGCTCATTCATCGGCTTATGTCATGCACCCAGGGGGCACGAAAATGTACCGAGATTTGAAAGAAAGTTACAGGTGGTCTGGAATGAAGAGGGAAATAGCCGAATACATCAGTCGATGCCTTACTTGTTAACAAGTTAAGGTGGAACAACAGCATCCAGCAGGCTTATTACAACCACTTTCCATTCCTGAATGGAAATGGGAACATGTGACTATGGATTTCGTGGTAGGTTTACCACAGACAATTCGAAACTATGATGCAGTTTGGGTTGTTGTGGATAGGCTCACGAAGAGTGAACACTTCTTGCCTATCAACACTACCTACCCACTTGAGAGGTTAGCCAAATTGTATACGGATGAGAACGTGAGGCTGCATGGGGTCCCAGTGACCATTGTATCCGATAGAGACCCACGATTCACATCACGTTTTTGGCCGAAATTTCAGGAGTCTATGGGAACGAGGTTGAAGTTCAGTACTGCTTTCCATCCACAGACGGATAGGCAGTCTGAAAGAGTTATACAGATCTAAGAAACTGAGGAGCAAAGAAGTCCCAATGGTTAAAGTACTTTGGAAGAGCGATCGGGTGGAAGAAGAGACATGGGAAACAGAGGCTTTGATGAGGAAGCAGTATGCTTTCCTATTCGAGTAGAGCTGTGAATTTCGGGGACGAAATTCCTGTTAAGAGGGGGTGAACTTGTGACACCGCACCCGAACGTCCTTGAAAATTTGATTTAAAAATTCAAAGTTTATGTATTGGATTTCTGATTCCCAAATAATTGTAAAACGATTAATGTTTTACGTAATTAATGATCGATTATTGTACCGTTCGAACTCGTATATTAGTGTCGGGCATGCAAATACTATTTGGGACTTATTAATAAATAAAAGAGCCCAACATCATCTAAATAGTGATACATAATCTTTCAAGAAAATTTGAGGAAGGTCGGACGGCCCAAACGTTATTTTGAGCCCAGCCTGCTAAAAATAGCAAGTATTCGAGAATGGCATCCTAGACCCAATCGGGAGTGACCCACACGGCTTATAGCCCAATAATATGAATGACAATGTCAAAATAAGGGATAGAATGGCTAGGGAAGAATACAAATGCCTGTAGTCCCACCTTTGGCATTATTGAGCTAAATAACGGGAGTATGATTTTTCTTCTATAATATTCATCATGTAAATAATTGGGATGATCCTACACATATTGGAGATCAATAATATGATGTAGGGAGTTGACTTGGTCTATATAAATTACAATGAGTAAAAAAAGACATCTTTTGACAAGAGGTTAAACAATAGGACCCATTCTTCCATTTTTGGATGTATTGATTAATATCTTGCTCCCAAAATAATTGGGGAACAACATGCTGCGCCCCATCTACTCCTTCCACCTGCAAGACAAGAAAAACAATGTTAGGAGGCTGCCATAGCTGACTTTAGGGGCTGGATTTGACAAAGGAAGCAAGAGGGAACCCCACCTAGTCTATTTTCGGACAAAAGGATGGTGCTGGTTGTCTCCCTCCATGAGTGATGTTATACTCGACCAAATAAGGTGAATGAGGTGTCCTTGGATAGCCTTTGAAGTCTAGTTTCTTATTTGAGTGGTCTCTGTTCGAGAAGGAAGAGTTTATCATACAAAAATCGAGCTGGAGTGAACTGCTGTCTGTAAACTCGAGCAGTGAGAGTGCTGAGGCTGTTTGGTTGATATCTCGAGTTATACCAAACCAATCGAGGCGTGTAAGATACCAAAAGAAAGCTCTCAAGACGAGGAAACCGTGAAGGTCTGGTTTGCATCAATCGGAGTAGTGGAAGGCTTTCAAATCGTCCCAACAAACGAGTTAGCCGGAAAACACCCATTCTAGGGGCTCTTTTCGTACCAACGATTAAGGGTTGAACTAGCACTTTGAGGAGGCTGTTTGACACTCATTTCTAAGCAAGGAATCAGTTCTCAAGCTTCCTTGGCCGAGGCTTTGGTCATTGGATCAAGAAGGAAAGTTTTAAAGCTCATTTGAGGTGAGGATCGACATCTAGTTGCTTACAACTTGTAGGTTAAACATGAGATTACCTAAATGCCTAAATAATGTTTTCCATGGATTATGATGATAACTTATTGATGGAATATTGATCTATTTTTCCAA